TTCATCCACCGATCGAATTTATCGAAAACTCAGTTTATATGAACTACGTATCTGGTGTATAACGCTAGTAATCGGCGTCGCTTTTGTTCGTACGTTACATCCCTCTTTCTGTAGATGTGTGCCAAGAGGATGACGAAGGGTAGCTGGTGTATAAGCCCTGTTGAGCAGAGGATCATCGCCGTGGAATGGCATGATCATACGAACAGACAGAGAGGGATAGATGAACGAGCAAGGCTAGCCGATACGAAGACCAGGCTGACTGGAAAGAGTTGAAACGAACGAGGGGAAAAATTGTAAAAAAGAAACGGTAAAGAAGGAGTTGATGGCGTAGAGAGGTACGGCAACAAGTACCGGAGCTAGGCATCGTTCCAAACATTACGTGAATACTGCTTGCAGTTTCGGGCTTGTTCACGAACGAACCGAAACAGTGTCATTGTATCGACGTCGCAATGAATGACACGCCTTACAGCCATCATATTTCAGCGTCATTGTTCAAATTTGCTGAGAATTCGTGAAACACTTTCGTCTACCTTCGTACATATTGATTTTGGAGTATGTACTCCACTTTTTAAAACAAAAACAAGAATACCAATATTTTGAGCAAAAAAATATTTTTATACAAAAAATTTTGAAATGATTAGCATTTTAAACATTTCAAGTAAATTTGAAAAAATAGCAATGATTATTTTTAAACAAAAATATTTTTCAAGTTATCCTTGCTATTAATATATTTTTTCAATGCATATGGGTAAAATAGGTAATTCAAAAAATTTTTCTACTGAATTAATTAAAACAAAGGGTACCATTAATTAGAATATTTTCATGGATGAAACTGGCATACTCAGTCCGGAAAAATCTGTACGGACTTGTGCGATAAAAAGATTTTTCATATGCTCGAAGTCACTTCTCACATCTTCCCCCTTATTTCGCCTCCCTCGAGCTTTCTCTCTTTGAATTCTCCTTTCATCCTTTGGTATTCAAGAGGAACTGAATATTCGCCACGTGAGTACCGTTCATTCGGCCAAGAGGACTCTTGCACAAATCCTCCAAGCAGAAATGTATACCATCTGGCATTGAATGGAATTATAGGGAAATATCTCTACGTATAAAGTAACGTTTCTTTTGCTATTGTAAATTGGATCTTCGATAAAAATTAGGATATCATTTAGGGGAAAAAATATTTAAATGAACTACAGAAAAATATTCGATATCTAAATTAGTGCCTCTAGAATTACGATTTTTTAATTAATATTTTAAACCCGTGCTTCTTTAATAAAACATTCATCAACGAAAGAATATTTCGAAATTATCATTAATATCTATGACTATGTACTAAAACACATACGTTCACAATACTTCAATTATCAGTGACTTGCAATTAACGCATAATGGAAAGTAATTATCCATCTCGATCGAACAATGGAATCAGACAATTTCATTCTGAAACACGGAGATCGAGCCAATTTATGTATCAGCAATAATCTGCCTAGATTGACGCAAATATTCTATAAATATCTTCACGGGGACATGGTCGAGAAGTTTGAAACGTCGTTACATCGATTTTTCTCTGCTGAAAAAGTTTTTTTCTCACCGCCTATCGAGTAGTCTTTCGAACAGTTTGCCTTCCGTCGGAGAATATCGAAAACGCACATCAACGGGAAGCTGCGAGTCCACCCTGACAAGGGTGTCTCACTGGTTGTTCGAATCACGGTTGAACGACCTTGATGAGCGGGCATTACAACTCATTAGACAAAACGGATACTTTACCCTTGTTTCGAGGCATGAGTTGCGGCGAACCGATCGAGCACCCTTTCCTCGTCTAAAGCACCCTACAAACACCTGCCCAACCCCTCTTCCCTGGCATTCGACTGAAACCAATACCGGTATGCTTCGTTCAACTACTAAAATGTGTTCTCATAACAGTTTCAACCTTCGTCATTTAGAATTGTCAAGGAATTTTTCATCCATTTGTTTTAAATTTATGTAAATGTCAAAATATTTCCATTTGAATTTTTATTTATTTTACAAATTACTTTTCTACTGCTATTAGTACACCTTTCTGTCCCACTTTGTTCTGAACTTCAAAGTGCTTTCATAAAACCAATCTAGATAAATTTGATTGGCTTTTAATTTAATTAATTAGTTTCCAACCACTTTCAACAATACTTTCGTACTTCAACACCAGAGTAGCAACTTTAGGTTCAACATCAGCGTCAATTTAATATCAAACAATCTTTTAAATTATCTCCAAAATGTCAGCAATTCCAATCAATAAAAGGAGTTAATTGCATTCTGTAATACAGAATGAGTCACGAAAAGTTGAAAAATTTAATCAATTTTTCACAATCTTTTATCATTTTAATGTAAATTTTATGATATGTAGTTTTATCTTCAATAAATTTGGAAAATTAAAAATAGTTTTTATTTTTGTCCCACCCTATATTTATATATAGATTGTGTTCAGTTTTTTGTATACTTGCAATCAGCTCTATATTTGAGCTTCAGTCAATTACAGGTAGTTGACTTCCCTTTACGAATCATTTCACCTGCATCCTAGACCTCTAAAAAAGGAATGCCGCCATAACGAGGACAAGTATTTACGAATCATTTCACGGTGGTGCAGCTTGAAGAGAAAGCCTGCTATAACGAGGACAAGTATTTACCCTCGAGAACATTGAAACAATGGATCTCATCTCTCTCTATCTTTTTTTTATTCACGTGACTTCGTTGTCTATGCTTGTAGCAAGCTGTTCTAGTAATCTTACAACAATTCTCATCGATTTATAAATCTGACAATGAAATCCAAACATCATATTAGCTATTGACCTGTCAATGTTTACAAAAGACCACAATCTTTGAAAACCATAGAAAATTGTAAAACCAAATCCTTTGTGATTTTTCTAATTTTTGAATTTATTTATTAATCAATAATAAATTAATTATCAGATAAAAATTTGAAACACTAACAAATTATCTTACTAAATAATGTATTTTCATTTTTTCTTTTTATTATAAAATTGCTGTAATGACAAAGTGCAAAAAATAATTTTTGATTGAGTATTGGATTTTGTGTTGCGATGAGTTTGCACAAGTGGGACATTTGTTTCAGTAGGAATTGGATTCGCTGGAATTGGAAGTACGATAAGGCATGTAGACATTTTCCAAGGAAAATGAATTATCTCAGAGCTCAGACAGCATTCCATCAGAACTGTCCACCACATAAATTAAAGTAGGAAAAAATTAACTTCTGCTTGTACATTTGAATATATTACTTTGAAATCTAGTTTGATGTACTAATACAAAGAACAAAGTTCATTTTAATTAGATACTTCATATTTGTTTTTTAAGTAATTATTTTGAGAATATCAAATGCGTATAAAGATGCAAATTGTAATTTGATGTTTAGTATTTCAACGAATCCACTTCACTTTCGGGTGAGAGCTATCGGTTTTCATTGATTGCAATTCTATATTCCAGGCGTCTGATTACCATTTACACGAAATTTGAATAAAGTAAGTACTCAATACTCTGTTTCATTCGGAGAATCATTTAAAAATGATTCTCAAATCAATTAATAATTGAGTAATTCTCAAAAACAACATTTTAAACTTTACCCAGAAATTTTTATCAAAGCATTTTTTAAATATATGAATATAAAACTTGAAAGTAAAAAATGTCATAAATGTTAGCAGGCATTATTAGCAGTGCTATGAACGCGTTTCGCATTGCGTGAATCGCTCGCTGACCCACAAAGTCCAAACAATAGAAACAAGGAAAAAAAAATATGGAAAAACTTTGGTATTCAGCTGATAAATAGTTGATCCATAAAAGCAGCCGCATTTTGAAATAATACTGTACTTTTGATAAAGAAAATATAATAATATTGATCTGAAAGAACAATGAAAAATATTACCTCTTCACAAATAGTAATAATAAAGCATGGTAATAAAATATAATTGAATATCTTCGTGGAAGATACCTTAAAAAAAAAAACAATTCTTTCTTCCCAAAAAGCGGATTTGATTTCTTTCGAGAACCTATTTAATTCAATCCGTGTATTTAACGCGGTACGTTTAAGAAAACGAGGGAGGTTAATTAAATTTTTCACGAATACCTACAGGGCCGTCGTAACCGAAAACTAGAAGGCACGTTCGAGCCCTGGCTGGTCACGATAGACTTTGCTAAATAATTTAAAAACGAGTCACCCTCTTTAAGGCGCGGCTCGTCGTTTCTTGCCTGCCGGCGCCGAGGACCTGCGAGAGGGGAATGGATGTGGTTCCATTCATGCTTATTTCAAGCTCATTGTGCGCCCGGTGTATTCAGCCTTTGACTCGCCTCTCGTGTTGCCACTGCAGTAATGTTTCATAGAGAGCAAGAGGCGTGCATGTCACTAGCTAAAATCAGGAAATACCGCTGTCACATTTTCTTCGACGTTAACGAACATTAGTAAAGAAGTAGCGACCTTATCGTACGCCTTTCCCTAACGGTGTCCCTTTGTCCTGCGTCTTGTTCCACTACATTGTTCACCGAATTGCTGTTACCTTGTTGCATATTAAATGACCGATTTCGAGACGCTATTCAATGGGGGTCAAACAAAACTTAATAGTATAAGTGGCTTGAATTTAATTTAAAAAAATGCGTGATGAAAATGAATAATAAGGGGATGAGGCATAAAAAATCTGGCCCAAGGTAACAAACATCCTACAGCCGGTTCTGCGCCTTACTCATTACCGTACTACCCAAATTTATTGAAATTCCTACTTCTAAAATTTGTTTTATTAAAGAGCCTAGGAATGCCAATGCAACTGCGAGTAGCATGTTTTCAATTATTAATCTGGTCCAGGAATGCCTGGTGATTTGTATACCTCAGAATTTAACCCATTGTATCCACGTCAGATTTGAAATGAATCATTTGAAATTAATTTGCTGGGTTGTACGTAGACGTACGATTAATGAGGGTGAAGTGTAAGAGAGGCTAACGTTTTCAATGTAATTTTCAGGAAACGAGAGAGACAACGGGAACGTCTTTGTCGCATGTACAATCAAATTTTAACGGAATGCTCTCAGTTTAATGGAACTTGGCCTGACCCGGATGATCCACGTTGGAACAGCGGGGAATACGTGGAACTTCTGTCGGACTGGTTCCCATCGAATATCACCAACGGCACGATAGCGGGGAATACAACAACCCTATCAACTGGTAATATTATCGAACTTCTATGGACAGCATCATTAAAGTTCGGGAAATCACGTCGAACAGTAGAGAAAAATATTTGCATATGCAATAGAATTTCAAAATGTTATATATTTGTTGAGAAGTACTAGGTGTCTAAATTAATTTATAATAATTCCGTTATTTATTTAAACATTCAAAAGATAAGAATTGTTCTAAATTACCATAGACACCCTGTATAATTAGCTTTCGTAAAATAATGATGATTTTTTATTTTACCCATAAGGAATGAGAAGATAATGGTATTACATAGATGTATATGTGAATCAATGTTAAATAAAAAAGTCGGGTGAAAATGTGTAGGCATGTACTGAGAAGATATATTCTATATATTAAACAGCGGAACCTTTGACGCCTGTTCTACCACCCTTCGAACTCTGGCAGACGATACTGATTGCTTTCTCCCTCGCATTATGTATACTGTTAACTGTCGGCGGTAACATTCTCGTCCTTCTGGCATTTATCGTAGATAGGGCTATCAGACAACCGAGCAACTATTTCATTGCCTCGTTAGCAGCCACCGATATGCTCATTGGTAAGTTTCACCATTTTATCCATTTTTCCATTTTACTTCCCATACATAGACAAATTAATATGAAAAACTATTAATTATTGGAAAAAATCAATTTTGCATGAACAATTGAATTTTATTTTTCCAATAATTAATTGTATAAGAAAGCAAATTGAATTTTGTGACAAATCCCATTTTCAAATTAAGTCAAATTAACCTAATTGTTAAACAGGCACTGTGTCCATGCCATTCTACACGGTCTACGTTCTAATGGGCTATTGGAATCTGGGGCCCTTGCTCTGCGACCTATGGTTATCCGTGGACTACACGGTATGCCTGGTATCCCAGTACACAGTTCTACTGATTACCATCGATCGATTTTGTTCGGTGAAGATTGCGGCGAGATATCGCAGCTGGCGTACGAAAAATCGGGTGATCTGGATGGTAACCATCACCTGGATCATCCCAGCACTGCTATTCTTCATCAGCATCTTCGGCTGGGAACACTTCATTGGGTACAGAGACCTAAGTCCTGGTCAGTGTGCTGTGCAATTTCTCAAGGATCCAGTTTTCAACACCGCATTGATAATTGGCTACTACTGGACAAATCTGGTCGTTCAATTTATTCTGTATGCCTGTATATACAAGACAGCCTATGATATGCAGAAGAAAAGCGAAGCTAAACAAAGGAAGATGCAGTCTATGGTGGCTCTAAGTGCTGGCGCTATGACAGGAATGGCGGGACGCGCAGCTGGTATAGGAATATCCAAAACGCAGAGTACTCTATTGAGCCAGGATAAGCCGAAAGGTGGTACATCAGGGGAGGAAGGTGCAGGAGGAGATGGTTCAGTTCAAAAGACCTCTTCGAAGACTTCTGGAATCGGTATGACCGATTCCACTGAGAAACAGACATGCGCCAGCACTGTCCCCACTGAGACAGAGAAGTCCGAAAGATCTAGCAGTCCAGCGTTTGATTCTGACGACGAAAGCACTATGGGTCCAGCCCAACAAACTGGAGGTACCAGAAAACGATCTTCCTTGGCTGGTTTAGTTGCTCAGTCTGGTGCTCTTCAGATGTTCACCACCAATGGCCACTTGAATGGGATCGTTCCTATCAAGGCCGACACTACTGCTCCAGTAGCCAGGAAAACTCTCCCACCAGGTTCTACTTGCGACATAGGCACGGCGACGCAGAAGACTCAGACGTTGCCGAAGATACAGGAGCTCAGTCTCCTGGATACTGACAATCCAGCTGAACTTGAAAAATCTAGCAGTCAGACGCTGACGCCTGAGCAGTCGTTAAAATCGAGCGGCGAAAGTGGGAATCAACAGGCTGTAACCTCTGCGGAGACCTCGCCACCCACCCATCCCAGTCGCTCGATCAGCAGCAATCAGCAGAATATCATCCCACCACCTTCGCAGTTCCAAAGCAGTCCTCCAGTGTCTGAGAGTCCTCCAACCTCTTCATCTACAGACAGACCCAAGTCATTGGTCGTGTCATCCCATGGCCCAGGTACCTATGACATCTTGACGGGTCTGGACGGTGGAGACTTGAGGTACATGGACGAGAGTTCAGTAATTCTGCCCAGTCCTTCCTATGAGAGTCCTCCGTCTTCCTTTTCGTGCAGCCTAGCGAATCCTCTATCTACCACTCCTTCGTCCCCCATCCTGGGGAATGTTACTTCAGCAGCTAACACGAGCCTTTTGCAAGCTGCTCTGATCAGAGCCACAGCCCAGCAGGCCAACAATCAGCAGCCAGTCCAGGGTAAACACAGCCAGCTTCAGCCGGTAATGTCCAACGCCTCGAGTCAAACTCATCCTCCTCGCGTGTTCATCACCCAAAAGACCAACGTTGCGTCCCAGACATCGCCAACAGTGAGCAAAGTGCACACTGAAGTAACTGTCAAGGCTGAAGACACGAAGCAGCAGCCTGTGACGACAGTCGTCAGCACCCCTGCGGTGGAGACGTTCAGTAGTTCCACTAATCAATGTCTAGAGCAGGTCACGAAGGCGAATCCTCCACAAAACTCTTCGTCTAGCGGCAGTATGGTGCCTACTATGTCTGGGACGACGATGAACGAACCAGAAAAGGATACCAAAAAACAGTCGAAGAAGAAGGATCCTCGCGAGGAAGGAGGATCCAGAAGGGACTTCGTGAAGTCGATTGGAAAGCGTTTGAAGACGAAAACGCAACGGAGGGATGCATTGATCAGTAGACAGAAATCTCGGACGGAAAATAGAGCTAGGAAAGCGTTCAGGACGATATCCTTCATCCTGGGCGCCTTTGTCGCCTGCTGGACACCCTATCACATCTTGGCGCTGGTCGAAGGTTTCTGTTCGACGCCGCCGTGTACCAACGAGCATCTATTCATGTTTTCCTACTTCCTCTGTTACGCCAATAGTCCGATGAATCCGTTCTGTTACGCTCTGGCCAATCAACAATTCAAGAAAACCTTCACGAGAATACTGAAGGGTGATCTCCACATGACGTAAGGAGTAACCGGAGTAGGGGAACGTGTGTTACGAAGAAGAAGGCCTTCCATAAATACTACCGAATTACATTTATGTACCGCCATGGTTCATGGTGAAATTGGACAATAAAAATAAGTTTGCGATGCAAACTGCTCTAAAGAAGATTCGCTATAGCGAGCTTCGTGTATGTATATAAGAATAGAACGCGCTGGTGTAGCTTTAGAAAGCATTCTCGGATGTACATAATGTATATGTATGAGTATCTGTTAAGTCTTTTTGCGGGAAATATGCAACACGTAGGAAAACGTGTGTACAACGCCGGGCATGGAGGCCTCCCTAGTGGGAAAATGGCGATCTAGGGAAAAGTGGCTCACCATTCACATATAATCATTTAATGGTGATAATTTCATTTAATGCTTCTATTCTTTAGTTACATGTTGAATTTTATAGTATTTAATAATGTAAAATTATATCAATTTTAATATCAATATAGAATCTTGAGAATTTTTCATGCATGACGATTCTGAAGTATTATAACATGTGGTGAGGTTATTTTCCCCTAGATCGCCATTTTCCTATGGAATCGGTTACCATATCCGACACTGTACATGTCCCTAGATTTAGATATCTGTGCGTACTGCATGTAATAATCGACACGATAAGCGCTTCAATATTTGAATTGTTACGTGACGAAATTAAACACGTTCAATTCTCAAATACTTATCGTTCGAAATACGCATAAGTTTCTTAGTTAAACGAACGATCGTATCGTTCCTGATGAAAGACAACAAAAGTGAAACATTAGAAAAATGTCGACGGAAGACACTGCTGTGTCGCAGTGAATGTTCTCGAGTCGAGGAAGAAGCTTTCATTATTATCTATTTCTTTTTGTTTCAGCAGTCAGATGCACTGCGAACTTATAGCACGAACTGTTTTTCTCATCTTTCCAAAGGTAGACGAATATTGTTTGCGAGCAACGAAACTAACGGGGTGGCTCATCATGAAGAAGTACCAAACGACCAAGGATTATTCAAAAACGCACTGCCTTGGAGTGGCCTACTCGTACACGGGCCTTCTTTCTCCGAATTCTGTTAGATTTGGTACTGTCTTTGTGTACATATGTGTGCAAGGGTGGTTTCTTTTGGTTATGGGAAAATAATGGGGGAAGAACCTCCCATCGGATTTTTTAATTCGACCATGAGTGCATTCTGAATGCACTTTGGAGCTTGGTGCATTGCTACAGATAAAAAAACCTTAGATATCTATACTAAAACTCGTGATAAAATTATCTGAAGATAAAAAACCAAAAAAATCTTAAGAATTTAATTTATCTTTTATTCAGGATAACATAACTTCCCTTCAATTTTTCCTTAATCGAAAGAAGCCATCTTTACGTACAACCATATGAGCCCCCATGGATTTCTAAAGTATAGTATTTCATTCCAACACGTAACACGTATTTGTCGCGTTGTTATGAATCTTCCTTACTTATATGTGTATACGAATCGCTTATTGTTAGTGATATTTCTTTCACGAGAAAATATCGGAACACTACACCTTCGTACCTTTTCAGCAATTTTATAAAGTAAACATCATTAAAATTTCGACAGAATATGCTTTTTAAAAAACAACAAACACCATCGAAAAATACAAATCGGTCTCATGAAACTAGTCACGCTGAAAGCTTTTGATATAATCAAACATGCTTTCAATCATAATGGAATTATTAATCAATAAACAAAGCATCTTGAAATTCTTAATCAAACGTCATATTCTGCAAGTTATTTATATTTTTAAATATCTATGCTGTGCAAAAAAGCCATAAAATGGAGTTACTTTATCAAGAATGAAAGCTTGAATTGCTATAAACGTACAATTATAAGCTTACTTTTATAACAGCTTTTATGCAATATTATATTAAGTAATGGAAAGGGACAGTTTATATTTCCAATGATTTAATCATTATCAAGCGTTTGTACCTTTTTTACCTGGAAACGAAAGCGTAAGTTTACGTGGATTACGATTCACTCGTAAAAGTAATAATTTTTCATATTGATTGCGTTTTGATCCAATTAAAACGCGTCGAATGCTTCGCAGTGGCTACTTTAATTAATAATTGTCGATAATTGATTAACAGACTCGATTTTGGTACGAGTGAAAATTACGAGACACAAGAAGCTAACAAAATTTTATACGACTCGTAATAAACAATCAATTAATTTTTAGTTACATTGGCGCTTTATATGTTTTTCGAAATTCACTGCCAATAGCTGCAATTTATTTTGAATTATTTTCTCTTGTTCTTTAATTCTATTTCGATTCTAGATCGATGCATTATATACGACACTAAGCTTGTAAAATAATTTTTTTTTTTTCAAATTAAAACTCCTCGGTATATATTCACAAGAGAAACGAACAGAGACGATCGATTAAAAATCGATGGGAGTAACGTTTGTCTATTGAAATGTCAATTTTTTGGAACCTTCAGATAAAAGGTCAATAAATGTATAACATGTGAATACTATTTTCATGAAGCAGATCAAAACTTGATCTTTGAAAATGAGGAACATGGCGATATACACTCTGTGTAAAAGTCTTGAATTCTAATGTAACTTTTAATATGATTTTATTAATATTTTTAATTCAAAATGGTTGACGTAGATATTGGATTTCTTTTTCATTTATTATCCATCAAGCTTCACATTATTATATTTCAAATTTACATGGATCAAGAAATTCATGAGTACAACTCATTACTCCTTTATTGAATTCTTTCCTCCACAACTTCTTAAGGTAATAAAGGAAAATTTCACGACTTGAAAAGCTAGGCATGCAATTATTTTAAATAAGCCGCTCCTAGTACTTGTTTAAACCACTCCAATAAATTATTTAGTCTGAAGGTTATACACAAAATGTTTGTGCTATTCTATTTAATAATTCATTATTCATTTATGTAACTTCAAAGAAATTGAGTCATTAATAATAATTGCAAACACATTCTAGAAGCGACGAAAATTAAGATTTGATTTTGTTGTATATAATTTAAGACTTTTGCACAGTAAAATTCATCTAAAATCTCAGTGTTCACATAAAGAGAATAGTAAAGTTACTTCTGAGTGAACTCATAACTCATCGTCTCTAATATTCCACACACGATTAATATAAAATAAAATTATATGAAATATCTTGTGGTCTATATTACGTAGCGGACATACAGTAGTATAATCAATAATAAATAAGGCGAATAGAGATTAAGTTTGATAAAGTTAGAGAAGTGTAACATTAACTTCTTGCCTTAGATCATTCATAATTTATTGGGGATACATTGTTAAGAATTAATTTATCTAATTAATAAAATTTGCAATCTGATTTTTAAACAGAAGTTTTAAACGTTGCAAAAATAAAAGTAACAATAATTCTTTTTCAAATTCTCCACACCACGTTAAAAAGATTGAACAACAAAAAATAAAAATAAAAATTTCAAACTTTATTAACTTGTTTTAAAAAGCAACCTATCATTTACTTAGTAGCTTTTTGTTTATATAAAAATAAAACAGATAAATTTTATTATTTTTATTGCATTTTAAATTTTCTTTCTCAAAAATTCTTATAATTTCTTAAACAAAAAGGATTTGCATCTTGTTGTTTAAGCACATAAGGCAAGAGGTTAAAGTTGACCGAATAAGAAGAAAAAAAGCCTAGACGACAATTAGAGGACCGATCGTGAAGAAAGTACATAAATGTCCGTGTGCTGTATTTCTTTCTATGTGCCGAGGCTTTCGTCGTAGCGTTCTCTTCGTTAACGCCTACCAATGAAGCAGAGTCATTAAGAAGTTTAAAAAAGAAGAAACGAATGGGGAGCCGTAACGAGCTATAAAGCGTTGAAAACAAGCCGAAAAGTTCCACGTTTCGTCTCAATCAACAAAGCTAAAGGAATGATTAGAGAACGTACGTTCCTTGTTAGGAAAATATAAGAAATACTCGCTGCTTTCCAAAACTTAGAATGGCTCGATGTCTCCTCGTGGATTCCGCTCTTTCTACCTCAGAAACAGTATACACAAAACAGAAATATAAAGAGTCATGGAGCGGATCAGGTTTTGATTCGCCATGTAATGTTCGCTCATTTGCATTATAAATCTTTCAAATTATTCAATGAATTTAAATATTCAAAGGCGAAATCTGAATTCTACTGGTATTCAATTAAATTGAATATTTGGATTTTCAAAATAACCCAGTTGGAATTTAAATTTGATTCAATTCACTGGATTCATTTATTAAGAAAATTTAGAAGCTAATTTATGTAACATAATTTAATTTTGATATTTAAAATGTTTCTTTGAAACTGATCTGCTACTCGACAAAAGGTATGACGTAATGTGCTTTTGTAGACACCATTGTCTAACGTGGGATCAATGGAAAAATGAATTTCAATGTAATTAAAAGGTTCTAGACAATACTAAACGTGCTCTCGCTCGACAATCTGAACTCTAACAACCCTTAAGAGCTAATTAGAATTTATACAAAAAAATTTACTACGTTTCGAATACTTTTGACTATTCAAAATCTTTGTCCTTAACTTTATTTTCTACAGAGCTCTTTTTATTTAGCAAATATTCAAACACAGACATCATTTGTCTAGCTTTTAAGGGTTTACTGCGAAAAAAGATATAACATAGCCAAATAATATAACTTTATTGCGAAATACATTGTCTAAAAAAGGAAATATACGTGTATAATAAAGCTAGAATTGAGAATATTAAAAATTTCCTATACTTTGTCAATCATTGATATCAATCGTGTGAGTTTGGATACATTTGCATTTGACATTTAAATGACAAAAATTTATCTATGCTGTCAAATGTGAATGTATCTCTAAACTACGAAACAGACTCCTCCAAAACCTCGCAACTGCGAATCATCGTCATCACACTCGGTAATGACGATCGTATGTACATCATGCACGATACGCTAATACGTTTGTCAATCGTTGTAATATTCCTTAATTCTAACACCGTACCCACCGCCCTTACCCATACAACGCACACCATGGTTTGTTGATGAGCTCAGGCTAATAAGTAATGAATACGGGCAAAGAAATAATGCACCTACCGTGTGAAGCTGAAAATCCTAAGCTAACAGTAGTAGGAGTAGTAGGTAGAGTGTGACATACAGGCATTGGTTGACAACTCTTTAATTAAAAAAACAATAATACATAATACATTTGTGACATTTTAAATTTACCATAATAATTTATTGTAACTACTTAATAATAAAACTTACGTTTATTTTGACGAAGATTCATTTAATAGTTCCGCTTGTGATGTTTTATTCTTTATTTGAATGTAATTCTGTAACAAAATAGAACACACTTTCTAGAATCAATATTTCAAAAAATGTCCTTATTCGTCAAAACATGAAGTTCTGATCCAATTTTTTTTAATTCTTTACCATTAATCAATTTTGCATGTTATTATATTATTATTTATATTCATATTTATATTATATTATATTATTAAAAGTGTCAATCACCGTATCAAATTTAATTTTGAATTGTGATAATCAACAAATACGAATGCCTGAACCATGGCTGTAATAAGTAAGACATTTGAATTTCCCGCCGGAAGGTATTGAAGATTATCGACGCCATATTGAAATAAAGTTAAGATTACTTTTCTCAACTTAAAACACCAAAATACAGAAAATAAAGTAGAAAATAACATAAGATATCAATGGTTCAAGAAATTATTGATATAAAGAACAAACAATTCAAATTCTGCTGTTCCAATCCCATTGTGAATTCATAGCAAAAGCGAAAAATTTCAACTCATGTATTTTTAAAGAAAACCTCGAATTAATGTCAAAAATCAGGAATCCAGACTTCTCTTCGCCTATTCTTTCTGTTTTTTGTACATTCGACACTCGAAAGACAATTTAATTTAATATTTGAAGATAATTTAATCTCACCTGTTACAGAAGCGTGCAGAACGAACGAAGCTTCGAAGCCAAATGCTGCGTTATGCTATAAGTCTGTGCACGCACCCACACACCGACGAATCTGATTGGTCGAAATAAGAAGACGCTGAATGGATTGACCAATCATAGCCATTGGGAGAAGTTTCGAAATGCTTCGGAACTTTAATGCTAATCGTAACGGAAACGTTCATATAATAAATATCAGCGAAAAAATCGAATAATGTGTTCAAGGTTTGCAAAAGAATATCTTATTGTTTGTAAGTTGAAGCAATCACACAAGTCTTTGTATTATATCATTTCTAACTTCATATCAACACGGGTATTGAAATGGTAGTACCACTGCCTCCTGGTGGTATATGCAGAAATTAACGAAATATAAAACGCCTATTTTAATTAAAATAAATGATTTTTGCACTTTATTAGCGCCGGTAGAACGTCCTGCGATCTCAATATAACAAGAATAATAGTAACACGGCTCTTTTGAAGCGTTAAAATTGATAATATAAAAAGTAGAATTTTATGAACCTACAAACGTTATCGCCATTTGGCGGCAGCGTGGCAGAACAAATTGTAATTTAATTTTGCTCACTTTTTTCATTAACACACGATTCGTAAAAAGATTATAGACTCTGTCACGATTATACGCTTTAAATTACGGCATTGTGATGCATTTAATACTTCAAAAATGATAAAGTTAAAAGGGAAGTGTATGTTACTGACCTCGTAGAGAGAGCCAAATTAGTAGCAGGTGCGTTATCATCTTCTTGAACCAAAAGATCTTGAGATTTGAACAAAGTATCACACAATAGTCACAGAATATTACTAAACTAAAACACAGCTATATACAGCACAATTATATCAAAATATCTGATTGTTGATACAAAATTAATCTGTACGCCAAATACAAATATGTCTGCACCACCTGTCGGCCGTTATAGGAATTACTTATTCGTATCCGTAGCCGTAGTAGCCATTTATTATGCGAGCTCGTGTCTCCAGCGTTGTCCGTTTTTGGTATCGGAACGTGTGTCAAGACTTAGTTTGAAGTAATAGTGTTTCAAATAAACTATTAAAAATGTCAGAGGTTTCTATGTCAGAGGCGCCGCACTTGCAGCAAATTGATCTGACAACATTAAATCTCCAACAACTCACGTCGTTAAAGCAACAATTGGATCTAGACCTCGGTATCTTTCAAGATTCTTTGCAAACCTTAAAAATAGCACAAACTAAATTCCAAGAATCTGGATCATGTCTGGAGAAAATTACTCCAGCTATGGAGGGTGAGTTTCAATTAATATTTATTCTTATAATACACGGTAATTGTTCGCTTTTGATAAGGTGATTCAGGTTATGAAATATGATACATTCAATGAATTTTATTTCATAAACAATGATTTTGTTGCAGGTAATGAAGTTCTTGTACCATTAACTGGGTCAATGTATGTGGTAGGCAAGCTTGCAGACACAAGTAATGTTTTATTTGACATTGGAACTGGTTACTATATACAGAAGAATGTATCAGATGCAAAGGAGTACTTTGAAAGAAGAGTGAGTTACATCACTACGCAACTAGAAAACATTCAGCAGCTGGGACTTGAGAAGAGTAAAATCAGAGATGCAGTAGTGGATACGATAGAAATGAAACTTCAAAACTAAATACAAAAAGAGGGATCAGAACATACGTAAAATACTAACAGGTTATTTGAACTAAACATTTTAAATGCAATTTATTCATTATTTGTGTCAATTTTCATTAATACTATTATTAAATGGGCTCAGTCTCTATTTCACTATTAAATTTGGATGATAATTATGCTGTATGTTAACATGAGATTAATTAAATTTCATAGCCATAAGGGGATACCAAATCGTTTATTTAATTTTCAATTCAACAGCTATTGTTATGTACAGCTATTACGTAAGCTTTGATAAATTATTAAAGGATTTTATCTGGTATAGCAGCTGTAAGAATAATAAAGAATAATTTTATCTATTAGTATATAGAGTGAACCGGTCCATGGTGCTTGATTTAGAATTATTTCTTAGGATTAAGTAGGATGATTATGAATTTTCAGGGACAAGAATAGATTAAATAACAAAGGTGAATCATTTATTTGTTTTTCATTTAAATAAAACTTCATTCACAAACAATAACAGCTTTCACCTAGAAACATGATGATAAGATACATTCCGGTGGCTACGGTGTTACAGAAGAGGTATCAAAATCATTGTCGGAGAATAGAAAACACGATGTAATTAGTATTCAAACAATTGTTCGAATACTTTTTGGCGCGACACATCGTCGATCTAATACATAATATTATGGCATTATGTTAGTCGGGTTATAAATTCGTCTCGCTGCAACGAGACAGCGCGGGTCTTAATTACACTTAAATAATTCGCTAAATTTTTATCCTATTTACACGAATAACATACGATCGATATTTATTATGTTAACGAAAGATTCATTTTTCTCGCTCCACCCCATTTTCGTCGCACTTAATAATTTCAAAATTTTACAAACAATTTCCCTCTTTCCGGTTCTTGATACAGTCACATGCATTATAATCGGGTTCATTGATGTTATCTTAAATTGCACAGCGTCAGCATGACTGCGATATTCAATAAGGACCATCCGCCGATGTGTTTCGCTGCACCCCCTGAAACAAGAAAGCAATGAAATATATTTTTACTTTCGTTTAATATAATCTATGGCTTAGTTTTAGTTTTGAAAACTAGAATTATTAGATCAGTTTAGAGATGCAGGTATTAGTAACAAATTTTGCTAGATATAATAATCTAACAAAACATACCATAAAATAGATTTATTTATAAAATTATACTTAATTTAAGAATTAAATTGTCTGGTAGATTTATAAAAATGTGTTTCATCTTTAAATGAATTTCAAATTATTATGGATGTAACACTTCGTTTAAGAAAAAAAATTTGCAAAATAAATACAGTTTCACAGCTGATGTATTAATTTTTATTGATGTAATTATGTGATAAATAGTTCAGGTTTATTTACTTGACTAATATTTTATATGCTTCCTTGTTTCTCATAATATTCATTTGAGTACTCGTCGTGTTTTTATTTATTATTTCTTTTGTTTTCATTCAACAGGTTTTTTTATTCAATTTACCTTTACGTTTCCGATGTGTTAATTATATTTTATTCATAAATTATATATGTTGTAAATTTACAGAGTAGAGTTGTTTCTATTTGAAGTTTCCAGGTGTAAAATATATTTATTTTTTTTTAATGTTATGACATTGTAGATACATCATTATAGTTAGTTTAATGAGTAATCTAATCATGTACTGATAGTACTAACAATAAGAGTACTAATTATCACTATTTCGTTATCTTAATTATGCCTTTAGTTTTGAAAAATTTACATCGATAATTTTTTATCCAGTTTAATCTCTTCTCAGTTCCTAATTAATACACTGATTAATTAAAAATTTACTGTTCTTAATCAATTATCCATGAATATTAGTAGATCATTAGATCCTTAATTAAACTTGCTGCAATGTCAATGAATTGGAAAATTCTTCCAGTTTACCCCTGGGAACTTCAAACAATATTAGAAAAAGTAAAAGCAATTGTATGAATTAATTATAATACTTTCATTAGACAGATGAAAGAAAAGTCATGAAACATACCAACGTAAGAAGATTCTCGAGTTCCTAATACAGATGCCAAACGTGGACGTTCCTCGGTCAAGAGAACATCAGCTTGTTTATTGTATAAATGAAAAACATTAGCATGACAAACAATATGCAATCTCCCGTTACTGAAACTGTCCGGAATTATTTCAAAATCCAGTCCTGCCATAGTTATTAATTGCTGATTGTCATCGATCTTGTTCATCATGGAACTGGAATTCACCTGAAAAATACGAAACATTTGTCAAAATCTGTGGTACTGTAATTTTATACTTCATGAAACTAATAATATTTTCTGTAAATTAAAAATTGTAACATTGGAATATTAATTGGAAATAGCATTGCAATTGCAGTGTTCCGAATCAATTAAAAATTCAAGAAGCTGATCATTTCTTTAATGTGTTGCTTGGGGAACAAGAGAAGCGGAAGAAGAAGGTGCAGAAAGTGCAGTGTAATACTTCCTGCTTCTCTTTTACGCGTTAATGCCTTCTTCGAGAACTGTGAATGATTTGCGGTGTTTTCACCTATAACTACAATGTTCATTGGATAGTTAAGAGATCCATAAACCGTTTCAGATTACCAGTTTGCACCAAAGTGCGAGCTCTGGATTAAATGAAGTCAGTTGTTATTAGAATGCCGTCGAACTATAATTTCCTCAGCAACCATACTCTATACTTATAACGGTATCCCATCGTACTACAATGTTATATTTTTTTTTCTTGTTTTCGTTTAATTACGTCAATCCAGGTGTACAATTAACTTTCATTCAATTCATAGATTTCAGATAACAGCCGTAGCTTTGTGATTATTTAAGAAACAGAGTTATTTCACCTTCAAACAGGTATTCTTTTATTAAGTAGTTTGTAAAATATTGCTTTGCTTTTCAATTTAATTAAAATTGTATTTAAGCTAGGTCATTGAAAGAATTATCCAGTACATTTTTTGAACAAATTGCTTTTTTCCCCTGGAAATTAACTTACCCATTTAAAAAGCGTTTGTGTTATATTGTGAAAAATGAGAGAAACTATTTTCGCAAGATTTCTGTGATTTTTCAAAATTAAAATTTTACATTTTATTCTATTCACTAATTAAGTAATATTTCCACAGTTTCCATTTTAGGGAAATGGAAAATTGTATTATGAAAGCAAAGCAATTACTAATTAGAGAATTTAATAACATACCCATCTAAATATTCCATATTTATTAAAAGTAATTTATCTTAGTTTCAGATTTGGGCTGGATCCCTTAAAAATTCTGGAATTTCAGAATGATAAGGGGACCAGTCCATGTTTGGATAGGTCCAGACCCACCCTCGTCCCATCCAGTTAGGTCAGGATTCCCAAGATAATATAATTCATTCAAAGAATATATTTAAAAATATTTTATAATTCTATTAAACCAACGAAATTCGCAAGCAAGAGGAACCAACATATCGATCTCTGTCATGATGACAGCTTATCGAGAGTAGCAGGCGAACATTCCGCGAAAGTTTCTGCATCCATCAACGTACCGGCACATCATTGACAGTCCATGTCACATTCGCTGGTGGTTTTCCTGAAGGAACAGTGCAGTTTGCACGTACGGTATCCCCGACCGCGTATCGTATCTTCTCCACTCTAACTTGGGGATCTCCATTCGGTAGATCTGGAATTTATCGGATCTGTTAGCAACAAAGAAACGGGACACGTCAGGGACGATATAGCGTCCCTTTTTTGTCTCGTTGGATAACTGTTACGCTTTCTCGTGGCTGCATTTTTACGTTTCTTTCTCAGAGAACCCGCCAGTAAAAACGCTTTGACACCAACGAGGCATCGCTGCACGCTCGAGTCCGCTGTTCACCGGCGTTGAAAAGCGCTTCTCGCCGAGATTTCGACTTCTTGCGGCGTTTACTGACCCCGATAAACAGAGCTGGCGAATTCGCTGAGAAATTTTGAAACATGAACATGCAGCTTACATTTCAGAAAATTTAAAGAGTCGAGTTATGATTGGTAAGATTTTATAGACATTGTAATTAATGCATTTTAAATTAAAATGTTATCAGACGTTTTCCCTTCTCAAAATCACAAAAATATTTTCTATTTTGTCTGGAAAGGATTTTTTTATCCAGGGTGTTCAGCTAAGGGTTGGCATCCTTTGAGGGTCCTGTAGCTGAGGTGATTTTGAACAACTTTTTCCTTTACCAAAATGCTCGCTAAGGCTTAGTTTCTGAGTAATTAATGAAATACAACGGACCAATCAGAGCGCACCGGGTATGCGCATGCTCAGTCGCACGAGTAGAGGCTACGAACCAACGCGACGCGACGTAGTTCCGTGTAGTTTGTTCCAGGCATCGGTCGAGCGCGGTTCTCGTAGCCGACACTCTCACAGCTGATCGTGCGCCCCATGCGCGCTCTGATTGGTCGGTGTATTTTATTAATTACTCAAAAACTAAGCCTTAACGAGCATTTTGGTAAAGGAAAAAGTTGTTCAGAATCGTCCCAGCTACCATCCCTCGTTGAACACACTGTATATTTATATATGTACTCAATCACGAGGTTCATTTAATTTTCATACCGGGTCAAATATTCAACGAGCTCCAGTTTCCTCTGACTTTAAAATTACTTCGTGTCGTTGAATAATGATATAACACTTCGTTTTAAATCTGATTTTGTGCCTTAAGTTTGCGCATAATTTTGAACTAGTGTTATACACTGCATATGATCAAAAACTGGAAAATAGTATCCAAGTTTAGGAGGAGGCAAACAAACTTTTATAGCAACTTCACTGTTATATAGACAGTTGATTTTGTTTCAACTTTTTTCTGCTACCATATTTGCTCGACTCTTACTGTTATCCCTCTAAGCCGCAAGAAGGCTGGGAGCACCATTGTCGAATAAAATTGAAAGGACCTTCACGTCGTCGTATCCTGTATACATAACATGTCATGTACATCCCGAAGGATCATTATACCATCCACAGAAGGCAGTCGATTTCCCCCGAGCTGTCAAACGATTGTCTCACTTCAGCTGAATGACTTCCGCCTGATATAGCCAACTCCTTCGTCCCGCATCCTCTCAAGGACACGATCATCGGAGATTACCATTTTGAACTTGTCTAGTAATGTTATGGACGATCATCCAGTCCCGTGAGAATGGTGAAAAAGGAAGAGAATCGAGTGGCGAGGAGGGATGGATACAAGTCAAGATTCGAAGGATCGATCCAGTATCGAGCTTTTACGAGCGATCCGTGATCGGAAAGAAGAGGCAATCGTCCTGGTCTCTTCAAAGAAGAATCGCTATCGTGATTGTGGCGTCGTTAAACGAGAATACGAGACGGTGGGAACGAGACCCCAGGAAACTACTCTATCCTTTGTCTCCTCTGTTCCTTTCGTCACCCTACGTTTTAATTGTCCGCCATTACGGAGACAATGTCAGCTTACCGTGCAGGATAATCAACGAGGACGAAGAAAGAGCACCCAAAATGGACCTCATCTAACGGATCCCCAACTTGGGGTGAGTGTACAATATTTCATTATTATTTTCATATTCTCTTAAGGAGTTAAAAATCAATTTGATGCCTTTTTTATTTTAATTAAAAATTTATTTCTCAAAAATCATAGTAGTACCAATTTTCAAAATAATTATTATCCTCCCTTGAGGGAGGGAGGATATTCAAAACCAAAATAGAAATTGGGAAAGCATAATATTAAAGGCACCAAGTTAATTTGTAAAGTTAATTATAAATACTGTGGCAAAATCACGAATGGGTAGACCAAAAAGCCAATTGTAAGTTCGAATTTGGTTTCGCCTCCTCTAATGAAACGACGTCGGAACAGGCGTGTCGCCAATTGCGAATCAATGAAAAAGTAACGGTTCACGAATGGCCTGCTAGATTTATCGCTGAACTTCGTGCGGCTCGTTCAACGTTTTTATCGAAAGTTAACAGTGCATGCTGAAAGGTCATCGTCGAGGTATCAGGAGGAAACAACTTTGAAAGGGAATAAGGTTATTCGCGTTGGATCGAAGTTGGGTAATTAACAGTAACTCGGTTAAGAGTGTCGCCAGATAATAGGTGATTCAATGAAAGAACTGTATTTGGGTTATTTAATGAGATCACCCGAGGAGATGTCTCTTTTGAGTTCCAGTGATTGTATTATCACTTTCGATACGTAGGTTTCATTTTCCTTAGGGATCTTTTATAAAAATGTGATCATTGATTGATCGAAGTAATCGTCGTTATTAGCATGGTAATTAGGAAGGATCTAGCTAATTTATTTACCTAACTCTGAAACAGGATGTGCTTAATGGACTAGGCACTTTAACCCTTAGGATAGGATGATTTATGCGTGCAGTATTCCAAGGAGAACTTCATTTATACTTTTTTTGGTTTTTTTAAGCGACCACTAATGTTACAGTGTTGCACAATTTCTGAATGTTCCCAGAAACAAATTATCCCCTAGGGCTGGGTTATTTGTACCATGCTATCGAAGGTAATTAATGTCTTCTTCGTGGCTCGATTTCTTTTTGTGAAATTGCTTAATAATTGCAACTTTACATGGTGTGTTGTGTGTAGAGGATACAACCCAAAGAAAATGGTTCCATTAATTTTTTTTTCTCTCCTCCTATTCGACATCGGTCATTTTTATCGCGAGATATTACTCGCTTTCTTGTTGTGCCTTACCAGCTGTTCCTCGAGTAGAAAAGAAAATCACGATACTTACTGGCAACGTACATGTAACCAGAGACTATTAAGGTATTAAACGAAGGTGAATCGCCAGATACTTCGCAACGGTATTTGCCACTATGATCCGGTTGAACGTCTTTCAGAACCACATGGTGAGCGTCGCTTCGTTCCCTCTGAAATGAGACGTGATACAGTGTTAGCTGGGAAAATTCATCTTTTGCGTGTTTAGCTTATGTCAATTATTGCATATGTCCTTTTACCATTGTAACAGCTTGATAATGTCTCAGTTTTTGGAGCTGGAGGGGATTCTTCTGAGAAATGGGAAATTATCAAGCGTCATTGGCATGGATGCATTTCTTTGCAGTTCGTTTATTTATGTAAAACTTTTAATTTCTAATAGGGAATTATATGGTAGGAAATTACTGAGCAGCTTTTATATACAGCTGTTCATGAAACTATTCGAATGCTTATTTACCTTTCTCTGTTTGTATACATCGTCATTCTCCTCGGGAACACCTAAAGGGAAGCACGGGAATCGGGGACGTAGCATTCTTCCCAAGGAAACTTAATTTAATTGCGAGTTTTAAATCTGTTTATATCAACTTCTGTTGATTATTATTAATAATATTATTATAATAACTATTATAACATTATTCCATAAACAGAGAATTGGAATGAAATTTGTTTGTGTTAATTATTAGTTGTTGATTATTGATTAATTATTATAATATGATATTAGGATTTAAATGAATTTTTAACTTTCTAAGTATCTCTGATATTCCACTATAAATATTTTCTGCTACGTCACAAAATGGTAATCATATCAGTATATTTGTCAAATGATGAAATGAATTGCTCAACAATTAACTTGTTTAATCGGCATACTTTCACAATCGTTTCAAAAGGGTACAATTGATTGATACTTGTAATGGGAATCAATCGTTCCGCGTAAGTGTAATCTATCGATGTAAATTTTAGTCAATTCAGCATCGATGATCACAGGATGGAGTGGATGAGAACGCGTACCATTTATTGCAAATCGATCGCACTTGCTCGCTTTGACATACTCGCACATTCACTCGTTCACGACAAACAATACCTCACAACAACGATTAATTACATGTTGCCAGTGGCAGCGTATAAATTACAATTAGTACTCGCGGTGTGAATTCTCTCATAAGCTATTCTTCAAAAATAATGTTTATCGAGCTTCCATGTTATTCTATATTTTCTGAGATATTTGAAATTTCTTCTTTACTTTTTCTCGAATAAAAGGACTGAGATAGTTGTTCGGATATACTAAGGTATTGGTGCTATGGAATTTTTTAATTTCCCAGAAACGCGAAGGGAAGAGATGGTTAATTCCTTATTGCAGTGTTTGAACAAAAAGAAAAACATTGAGATACTGGTGAACCTTATAAAAGTTGCATTCAGTCAACTGAGAAATGCACTTTTAAAGGAAGAAAGGATGTCTGTTGTAATAAAATTGTGGGTGTCTTTGTATTTTGATTTCGAGCTTCTGTTGATATTTTTATAATACTTGCAAAGTAATTAGTACTTTTAATCATCATAATTACAGAACTCACTAAATCATAAAACAAGCTGTTTTTAAAAAAAGAAGGGAATTTCGTTTTCTGAAGGGAAAAGCTTTGAATTTTTGTTCACACCACAGTCTTTACAATCTTTTATTTCACACCTTTCATAATTCCTGACTGCATAATAGAAAATTTTAATAAATGCAATATACGTTGCAATATTTCACTGTGCCATTCAGCAAACTGGAAAACAACATTTCTTTTTAATGGAAAAAGAGAGCTTTAAGAACTCGTTTCATATTTCAGTTTTTAAACTAAAAAGCTTTGAGTTTCTGTTTATATTACACTCTTTACAATTCTTAAATACTTCACATCTTTCATAATTGCTGAGTGTATAATAGAATACTTTATCAAATAAAGTAAACGTTGCAATTTTTACCGTGTTATTCGTTAAATTATAACATAATTTTTTTTATAAAAAAAGGGGTAAATGCAGAAAATTTCCTTACAGTTGAAAAGCTTTTATTTGCACCCTCTACAATTTTATAAATCATAAATTCTATATAGTAGAATATTTTAATAAATAAAAAAAGAAAATGGGAGGATAACAGTTCTAATATATTAATAAAATAGAAAAATAAAAGAAAAGTGAAATATTCAAGAAATTCTTCTAAAGTTAAAAATTTATTTCAGGTTTTAGAATCCAAGCAAGAAATTCTGGAGCTTTAGCTAGCAGTAGAAATTTTGCTGGATCCTTTAATTTCTCTCTGACCATTGGTAGGTGTGCCACTACGATTTATCGGTTCAAGGGTTGTCCGTACTTTCTACCGTTGAAATCTAATTGGAAAAGCATTGCGTGCAGGGGATCGGTTCTCTGGTTGTTTGGTCGATCTCCATCGTGCCGTTTCGTGTGTGTATTGTACATGGAACTCGTGTTTCCACGTAGAGACTTTAACAGATCTTTAACTCGCGTCGAAACGTTGATTTTCTGGTGTATACGCTTTTTCCTTTCTCTAATGGATCTGGACTGCACGCGAACAGCGTGTGCAACCGCTACCTACTGTATACCTAGCGAAATGTTTTTCTAGGATCAAGGAATGTTACTCCTTTTTGCGCACGAAAGAAAGCTATGTTCCTCTACGAACTCAGCTACACGGATTTGTGGTTTACCTGTACAGTTAAATTGAAAGTAATCATTTTTCGACAAAAGTGCCGTCGAGACAGTTGGACGTTTGCAATTTAATAATAATTCCAGAGATTTTTAACTCTATTTTAGTAATTTTGTATGGTTTGTGGAAATGATGGAACGTTTTCTTTAAATCGAATAGAAAGTATTTTATATGGTTGTTGTATAGAAAGTCTGAAATGATTTGATGATAAAAAAGTGTCACGAAATGGCACTTATGGTACATCAATTTGTAGCTTAATAAGGAAATTTGTATGACAGAATCATTAAATATACAGAAAGTATTTAATTAATTAAGACAGTTACTCGTACGTTTTCTAAACTCAAGATACATAATAAGTTGGAGAATCAATAAAAGCATTGAGATGTTTGTTCAACAAGTTTCCAACAGATTGATCAACCTTCTTTCTAGATCATCCGGTATATATCGCTTGGTCAGCTCTGTTTGCGAACCCTTTTAGCAAATTAGAATGCTGAACAGAAATTTTAACATCCGAGTCAGGAACGATAGGATTCGTATGTTAGGACAAACTCTGTGTTCTTAGGCTACTTGAGAAATGGTAATTAAATATTGATAATAGTTTATTCGTTATCTGGGTTAACTCTAGCTATCCACAACATTTTAATTAAGAGTGTTCGATTTTTATTGTTATTTTAAATTTAATGAAATAAATTTGCCTGTTAATTCGAATTTTAATGACTAATAATTTTCCATTTGAAATGAAAATTTGATCCATAATTAGTTTCCAGGTTTTAAATTTAATACTTTATTTAAAATTCCATTTTATATTCATAGAAACCTAATTATAAGATTCTTCTATTAGATGCACTTAGCATTTCGTTAAAAAGATAAATAATACTTTTTCCAATTGAAAATTTAATTTTCCGATTAATTCAGTAGAATTGTCAGAAATTTATTTTCTTATATATTTCAAAGGCAAGGTACACAAGTTGTCATTTCTCAAGTAGATTTATATAAACCAGTACGTAAATGGTTCTTACTAACAAACTTTCAAACGCTTAGGAAAACTTGAGGAAATATAATTTGGGAAATTTGCTTCTGTTTCCCTGCTTTGCAACGATTGCACATCAGGTGTGAATGTAAAGCGTGATTCGCACCAGATCGCCTTCCAACTTTTAATAAGTAAGAAATTCCCAGGGTATTTCTGTCTCGAAACAATTCACAGACAATTCTCTAAGTAGCATTCACCGGATTATGAAGTTGTTTATATTTAATCACTTCTATAGTAGAATTATAAATAAACTGGAAAACAAATGAAGAAAAGAAAATTAATTTATTTTATTCACAAACAAATTTCATTTACAATTCTATTACCACGTACTAGAAACTATGGTATTCGTTTGTAGTAACAGTTGTTTGTTTCTCAAACAGAACGTGATGGTGTTGGAAAATAAATACTTACGATGACTTTGGTACCCAGCTCTCCGAAAACAGTGATCGGTGGCATCTCTTTCGGTAGGTATCGAAAAAATTCAGGACCCTTGTACCATTTCACTGTGTATAAAGTGTCTGATTGTAGATCGTATCTGCAGGTCATATTGACGGTCGAACCAGCTGCTACGGCCAATGGAATATCGATAGATACATTGGTAAGTCCGCGAACACCTGCAAACAAAACTATGTGACCATTGTTTTGCCAGCTGTGTTTGGATTAAAATAGTCGATGCCAAGTTTCGATTTCTTTTATGTCAAGCTGCAAAATTTCTCTCGCGAGTTTAATATGATACCGTATATAGTATATTTTAATATAGAGAATGTCTTTAACTACCCCTTATCCCTATCAATTTCCACTTTCATTAATTTTTTAAAATAAATTTAGATCATTTCTTTAGTATTCATTTAGGAAAATTTTTTACATACATTTCTTAATTAATGAACCTGATAAGTCGTTCACCCCTTTGTCTTTCTTAGATTAATTGATATTACAATTAACATCTTTTTGATTATGTTTAATAGGAAATCCAGATTTCAAAATATGACTTCAACCCTTAAATTTGAATTTGGTTCTTCTACAGGAGTGCATCATGATCCAGAGGGTGAGTGATATTGCACCAGCATGTCATTAATTAACATAAATTAGTTTGAAGATTTCTTAAATAACACAAATTTAACATTAATTTTTTCATTTAATCACCAGTTACTGTAGTAAGATATTTTGCTAGTTCAATACCATGATAATAATCATAATATAAATTTAATTTTGGTATCAGTATAATTAATTTGAATACGTATCATTAAAATTTGAAGGTTTTTATTATTGAGTTATAAATTTTCCTACTACCATACTTTTCTTTAATAAAACAAAAAATATCTTACTACAAACTTGTTAATAAATTGCATGATGTAAAATAAGGTGTTTAAATATCATTCAATGAGCAGTAGAAGATATATAACCAACTTTATCGAAAAAGTGTTTTAAGTTTACAATTCTTGCTGTCAGTGGCAATTGATATATCGTGAAAGTACGTGAACAGCAGGTTAAAATAAAGTATCAGAGGGCTGTTCATCAATTCTCGCCCAGCCATTCAATTCTTCGCAGAAATCCCCTGTTCTAATATCGCATGACACTCTGTCTAAAGTCGAGTAGTAAGGTAGACTTGGTGGGAAATCCACTTGCGGAACGAAACGCATTTTCCACACCATTTTCCACCCTTTCCCTTTCTAAGCTTTCTTTAATGCTTTCTAACCGACCGAGGAGCACGAAACTCAAACCTTCTCTGAAATTAACCCCTTAAGAAATGTGTGGCATTGAGAAAATTGCTCCAAAGATTCTTCCTCTTTAAAAAAAATAGAAATATTGGATAATAGTTGTGGCAGTAGTTGGTACAATTCTTTTTTTATTTTTATAGATGTACTTCAATGAATGGAAAAATAGAAATTGAAATTTTGAATATCAGAAAAATAGCAGGGCTTTGACTGTCAAACACTGAAATTTTGAAACAAAATATTTTGAAATATTAGAGAAATAATAGCTAAACAGATGCTGTAAAATTTAGAGGATTAGAATGATTGATAATCTGAAATGAAGTTTTAATTGAAGATTGGACTTTCGAACATTGCTGAAATTATTCTATGCCACAACAAGAATAGAACAGTAACATCAATATTACAAATTCAACTACTTTCATCAATCAACTCGTTGAATAAGCTGTAATACCGCGTAAGCCGTATGTTATTACAAAGTTCGTGAATGTGGTTGTTTAGACCATAATAGCTAATGTTCGATAAGTTCTAGCAACGTTTCCCATACGTTAACAAGTTTCGAGGCTAATGTAATCCTAACAGCAGTACGTTTTACAGATCCAATTAATTCGAACATTAGATCAGATCGAATAGCCAGACAGGTTCTAACGATCCTTGTCAGTTTTCAACTTGAAGTTCTAAATTCTACTAAATCGATCAGTTTCGAACTTTTTGGTAGTTCTATAATTCCATTAATATCAAAATATGCATTCTGAAATAATATCAGATATTTATTCATCCAGTATTAATTATTCTTCTTCATTCAGTAACATTCACTAATTATAGAAGTGATAACACTCTAATTAAGGTTTTAGATGTTTTGCCCAAAATAATTTCTAAAATTTTGTAAAAAGTTAAATTTAGAAAATTTTGTGAAAATTCCAAATTTAGAAAACTGTAGTAATTTTGCTTTTTAATTTTTACACATTCTGTATCAATTAGGGCTAATCTAAAAATATTTACACCTAGGCCTTAATTACCATTTTCACAGCTAATGAAGATGCAAAATGACTAATAAAGTAATGATGATTATAACCAAAGATAGCTAGATGTTTTATGAAAAAAAGTTTCAATAGTTACCTACTCAACGCTTATTTTGAAATAGCTGCACCCTTAGCGGTAAAGCAGCTCTCTAAATGGAAAAAAGAGTTTCCTTCGAACGAGGGATTGCTTCCCCCTTTTTTTTTCAAGGATGAGTTAAGCAGCGACCACTTATCCTATGATAACTTAAACGGACAAGTGCTTAAGAAAGTTTTCGCGTAAACTGGCCAACGTCAGCATCAACGTTAGCCGACCTAAGGATTACCAGAGAATTCGCGTAAAGGGACAGGGAAAAAGTTGCGGCATTGGCGTCGACTTTTAAATATCTCCGCGGGGAACTATGAGGCTTACTTCTTTTTCCACACCTAATGGCACCAAAGACTTCAAGCTTTACCGCCTAATGGGCATACACAAGATTATCCGGATTATTCTTTGCCACGCTAAATTCCAATCGCGGAAAAGTTTCGTTCTCGCGAGAATCTCGTTTTTCTATCTGTGTAAATTGAGATCCCTGATGGAACAAGAATGTCATCATACATTTCGTTAGCATATATAGTAGCAACCTGATTATATGGTTATTTAGAGAATATATCATAGGAGCATAGAGTAGGTCAAGTCAGTAGCTAGGGGGTTAGCTGACCCCTTACTGAAAAATTAGAAAAAATTAGAAAAATTAAAGAAATTTTTTTGACCACACAACTTTAGGTATTTAGTATTTTGAAAATTTAATAAAATTACAAATTAGGTAAAAGGATTAACGCTTTCACTGCTATAGATTTTAGGGTTCCAATTTGGGTGTCTTTGCTTACTTTAACTTCCGTGCCTCCTTCTCCCCTTCTAATTCAATCTAAACTTCCTTCCAAACAATTATTTGCTCGTCGTTGAACCTGCTTAAACTATCAACAGGATGAATATGCGATGTGTACGCCTATAACGATATTTATAGAGTCGTGATAGGAAGACATAATGAACTCTCATTTCATTTATCGCTAACGGGTTGAAAAGTTGGTCCGTTTCGTCGGCATTTCGGCTTAAAGGGTGGCAAAAATCTGTCGTGAGTTGAAGGTGGATTTAGAAGATCAACGCGTGATATACGTGAGTGGCATTTACTGTGCTCAACTAACGTTGGTGTATACGAAGTTCCTTCATTAATTAACCGTTTTTCACACAGACGCGTTACTTGTTAATTATTCACGCTGCGGTATGGCAGTGTGATATTGCATCTGTAATGTAATTAATCGCTAACCAAAGTAAGGTGCATGGCTCAGAGTAGAAGTTATTTAGAAGGTGAGAAAATTATTATTTTGCAGAAAATAGCTCTTCTTTATTGGTAATAAATAAGTTTATTAAGGGTAGTAATTTCTAAATTTGATAATATATCAAGTAATTTTAATGGGAATTTCTGTTTGATATCGCCTTGAAATAATAATTTATGAAGAAAATTAACTGAATAGTTATGATCCGTAATAAGTAGCTGAAACGTTTTTCTATTACACGATTACATCTTGAATTACAGTATATTAATCACTCGTAATAGAAATTATTTCTTAAAATCGTTTTATATATTCTCTTATCTTTGATTCTCAGTGCTCGGTTGAATTAACTTTCTTAATATTTCAGATCTTATCTGATCGCAGCCTTCGAAAAGTTTTCTCCATAAATCGTTTTCGTTAATTGGACGACATTCTCTTAGTTTTCTATCCAACTCGTCCTACAGTAATTTGATTAGGATCTAGAAACTGATGATGGTATTATAGCCCCTAATATTTCTTTTCTTATTTTAAATGCTCTTGGAACAGCAGTGAAGTGTATTTTTAAGTACATATTTATAGCACTATAACAATCTATGTTATGTGTGCCATTACACTTCTGCATTTACCTTTCAAGTTTTTAGAATTATTATAATCATTTCAATTTGTTTATATGAGCCTTCCCTATCAAAGCTTACTAATTATCAATAAAATATTTAATTCGTTACATAAATAATGAGCTGACATAAGATGAATTATTCTAAGTCATAAATAATAGTATTTTTAATAATTCCTAATTATTTCTAAAACACTAATTAGCTGCTGTGCTTTGATTTTTTTTTATTGAATATTATTTTTAATTTTTCATAAGAATGGAATCTGCAATAGTCTGTGCCTATTAAAAAATCCTTAAATGTGTCATTTTAATTAGAGAAAGGTCAAATTGGAGCAATTAGGGTTGGTAGGTTCAAAGGTCGTACAAGGATCTTCAACAAGGATAATCACTTGTTCTACTCAAGAGCTAGCACACATTTCACTTGCCAGATCGTTCCAGTGAGATTTAAATACCGGCTCCTCGCTAATCACCTCGCTAATCCTTAATTACTGCCCCAGCGCGATTGTTATTCGCATCACGGCCCGTGGAACACGCATCTTCCGTTTTTGGAAGGTGAAACCGTCCCATAAATAACACTACCCCGAGACAATAGCGTCACATAAACTCGCTACCTATATATCAACCCCTTGCCCTTAAATTATTGCCAGAATAATAGGGCGAGCGTAGCCTGGATCCCAAAATCGTTTTCCTTCACAATCACTTTGCCATCTTCTTCGCCCGATCGAACCTGCTTAATGTTAAACACAGACTATTGGGATTATACACCTTACTTTCTGTTCTAATAGAAGAGAAATTTTTTATAATTATAGAAAATTTTGTAGATAATTGATTTTGTGTATAATTAAGATTTTTTTGGCAATAAACAGTATTAGGTTGTTACATATCAAACAGACGATGTTGTTCTCATGATTTCATGACAGAAAAGAATTCATACATTACACAAATTTAAAAACTTT